GGTTTTCTGGTAGCATTCTTTGGAAAATCAGTATCCATCATTTCATCCATCCATCAGGCTATTACAAAATGAAAGTCAACTAAAATTGAACTAAAACCAATCTGAGCTCACCTGTACTTTGTTTCAATTTAACCAAGTGTGATTTTAGGCGTTATCGAGAATGACCTGTCAATATAAAAGCAAGGCATATTATTTCTCATATCTGAAACACAAAAGCAACCTGCAACTTAATGAAACACCACAAAAGCCTAACATATGTGAAGTGTTTGGTTACACAGTTTAGATATGAATATAAAGGGTTTTTTTGTTTTACAAACAAACAAACAAACAAAGAAAAACCCATGTTTTGGAACATTTTACTTGAAATAAACTTTTCAACCCAGTTTTCCTACATTACAATCCTTGTAAACAACTTTTCCTGCACTGTGGATTTGGTTAATCTGTTTATTATTAAAAGCAAACACCATACTGGCACATCAAAGCGAGGAGAGAGTAGCTGAAGTTAACGATGCCTGAGCAGCCCTAATTAATCAAACCACGTGGCTATTTCCAAAGTTTCAGGACGAAATTCTTTCTGGTTAGACACAAAGCGCAGACTGCCAAAGCCTCACATTAAGTTAAGATAAACTCTGCTGGATACTTTAGGACATAAACACTTTTTAAAGAAAATATGATCACAAAGAGTGCTGCCAATTTTAGGTTGCCTTTTTAAGAGCTTGCCAGAGACTTAGAATTAGCTTATAGAGGGCTGGCTCTGTCTTTACAGTTTATTATGTTGTTGATTAATGAGCACAGCCCCAGTCACAAAAATAAAATGAAATGAAACAACAAGCGAAACCTTCAGAGAGAGACCTGAAACACTGTGATCCTACACCCTACACTCCCATTGTATTCATATTTCCTTAGTAAAGTAAGTGCTGACAGCACGCTTGCAAACCTCAAGCAGTGAATGGTCACATTGTGAACCCTCCAGCACATGGCTGTTGTCCACGCTTCTTGTCTGGCATTATGATGGAAAGCTAAACATACAGAGGTGATTTTTTTTTAAACGAGTCCAAATTAAATGCTTCTTTTCTACGATTTTTTATCAAACGCCTGAATGGTTATGATTAGGCTCGAGACTGAATAAATGTGTGATGTCTGCTGATGTGAAGAGTTATATAATGACCACATCTGCCTGCCAGGCTGCCTTACACCTAGAAATGAAGAAAGTGGACCTGATGAGTGATGTTTCTGCTGCTTTAATTAGAAGGCCTGGACCCGGCCAACAACAGTCTCCCCGATTCTATTTTGTTCTGCTGGGACAGCCTGATAAGAGAGCTGTTAGCATCAGCCTTGAACCTTCTCTCATTCTGTCACACCAGTTCTCCTGTTAATCACACCTACTCGAGCCTCCTCACCACCGGCACTTTTGCGCGTGTGTGTCGAGAAAGGCGAGCCACAGTGAGAGGAGACAGCAGAGAAAGGCAGATTAATCTCCGGAGTGGAAGGTAAAGCCATTTTTATGAGGTTCACGTGTGAAGCAGCCGGCCGTGCTGTCAGTTGTTGTCGGCAGTGAAGTGTTCAGAGAGCAGCGTGTTGTGCTGTTTTACAGGGTACAGGTCTGAAAACAGCAAACACATGTGTGCAGGGAGTGGATACTGCAAGCAGAAATAAACACATACACTTTGTAAGTGTCAGAGCTCTGTTCTCCAGGCTGTCACACGTCTCTGAAAAAGAATCTTACAGGATACTCGGTGAATCCACACAGTGGGCTTTGGGTGTGTGAGGGAAAGGATCCATCCTTCAGTTTTTCATCGTTTGCATTTCTTTTGCATGTGTTTTCTTTTTCTTTAGCTTTGTTGTGCCACAACCTGGGAAGGAGCAATCTGAGTTTCATCAAAATGTATATGTTGGCAATTTTATCAAAACCTAAATCAGACACGGATCTACCCGTTGGTAACTTCATATTTGTCTTCTCTATGCACTATGATGCAAAACTGTATAGAAGCAAACCATTAAATACCTGCAGTCACAATCCTAAAGCTTTTTTGTATTTCATTTCCTTTTTCAGTTCTATGAATTCATCTGCATGCAGCTGACTTTTATGGTTCCTGCTCTGGATTTGAATGTCTGCTATGAGCACTAGGGATGCACAAAGGATGATGCACACATATAATCCACTGTTACTGTATTTAATTTCCCTTTAAGATCAGCTTCTCTTCTCCAGCTGTTTCAGGGCTGGATGAAGTTCATATTACAAGCAGCACATGTCATTGCTAAGCTACCACTGACTAGCTTACAAAGTGGGATTCCAGTGACCATAGGATCAGCAGTCACCTCTCTGTCTGGGTTTATGTGACTTAGATTAGAGCTGACAGAACAAGAAGTCAGATCAGTTTCCTCATATTGTTCTCAGCAGACTGATTTGCATGGGGTAAATAAGGAAATGTATTAAGAGGCAAAAACAGATATCTACATCACCTCTAGGTGACTAGCTTCCAGTGTCTTTTTTAAACTTCCATTTTAGTGGATTAGATGTGTTTGCAAAAGGGACTTCTGGCTGTATGGATGTTTTTGAGAAGACATCTGCTCCTTTGTATCTCAGTAAAAAAAAAAAAATCATAATAAAACTTGTACTTGCTTCAGTTCATAATCAATAAAAGTTCATTTTGTAAACTTTTCCTTCTCATTTTAAGTGAAAGAAATTCACACAAAACATATTATTTATCCCACATTAAGTTTGTCTTTCTCTTCATTGATTTATTTTTGAAGTGTTAAATTTTCTGATAAGACATTTAATGACATGTAGAGGTTTAATTAATAGCAGAACATCAAACAACTATTCCATTTCCTAAGACTGGCTTTTATTTATTTTTTTACCCATTTTAGTCGTTCTGCTGTGAACTGCACAAACTGATAAGTGATCTGTTAAGGCACCGGTCACACAGGCCTGCAGATGGGATGGCCGCCAGTCACTGGGGAAAAATAAGTTCTCTCAGACTGGTTGCATGTGGTTGCTGGCAGTCAATGTGAAACTGATTGGTGATGATCGTTCATGCAGGGCTTAAAACAGTCAGTGACCCCAAGGTAAGTCCAGGTAGCTCATGGCTGCAGGAGTTGCTAAGTGAAGCTGGTCATACGGTGCTGCACTGAAAACCTCATTGTGATTGCTGTGGCTGCAAGCAGATGGCTGCAGTCACCTTTAGTTTGTATGGAACTTTTGCCAGTGACCAAAGTGATCACACAGAGGTTTTTGGAGCAGCACCCTCTTCGATCAGTTTCACCCAGCAACAATCAGCAGCTGCTCCTCAACCAGTCGGGAAATCACTTTTTCCCTAGTGACCAGACATTTTGAGAGTGCTACCAACTATCTTTGACTAGCAGACATGTATGTGAGGGTAGTGAAATACATGTACAAGGACAGTGAGACAGTGGTCATGTTTGCAGAGTGTGTCTTTAACCTCTTAAGCCCCAAGCCTACCTGATCTCCTGCTTTTTGCCCCCGTATCAGGGGGCGTTGGGGCTTAAGAGGTTAAGGTGTAGTTCAAAGTTGGGTGGGATTACATAAAGGATTGGCTCTGAGACCCTTCTTATTTGCAGTGGTGATGGAGAGGCGGACAGAAGCCTTCTCTGACTATGACGTTTGCAGACAGCATCGTGATCTGTGGTGAGAGCAGGGAGCCAGTGGAAGAGAGCCTGGAGGGGTGGAGGTATTCAGCAACGAGAAAAGAAGTCGAGACAGAATACATGTGTGTGAATGAGAGGGACGAGAGTAATGGTGAAGCTACAAGAAGTAGCTGCGAGGTGAAGAAGAGAGTGCAGGCAGGGTGGAGTGGGTGTACACGAGTGTCAGGGGTGATATGTGCAGTGTTGGGAAGGTTACTTTTAAAATGTATTCCATTACAGA